ATGAACGAGTTGCTAGGTAACGAAAGAATGAGTGAGTTCAGTTTAAGCCACCAACATTGCTTTGCTAGTCTTGAGAGGTTGAGCAGCTACAGTCTTCCCTCTGCGTACATCCCCCAGAATGCTGTGCGGTTCTGGATTAGAGTTCAGTGAATATTCCATCTATTGATATTAGTAATTTGTCTATCATGATATATATTGATAATGATTTATTGTCCAACCATATGTCTTGATAATAACATTCTTCAACCAATTTTTATACGTTTTGCACCAAGACAGTCATGGTGGAAAGTTAATTTTCTGTATATTTTAGTGAATCTTTGGCCATTTTGGATCACAATCCTGCAGAAAAATCTGATATGAAATGTTTTCCGTTACCAATCTGTGGTATAACAGCTTTAGCTCTCCTTAGAAGGCTGCCTAAGGGTTTAGGAGTCTTTATGGACATTTTTGACCTTTCTTCCAGAAGCCTATTAGTGAGGTCACACGCTGATGTAGGACAAGAAGGCCTGCTTTGCAACCTGGTTTCCACTAACCTGTTCTATTAATATTTATACCTCCTCAGTCTCGAGTTCACTGCTAGATCATCGTTTTTACATGGCAGAGTTAAGATTATAACAACTTTGATGCCTAGATAACCCTTATTGGACGTAGTTTCCATTGTGCTGTTATTGCATGTTATTGTTTACATCTGGACATTTTGCATATGCGCACAAAGCTGGAGGGCGAAAGACGGTTCTTTTAGATGCCGTCCATAGCTGTGCTGCTGCTGTAGAACGACTAAATGAAACCTGGAGATGTAGGTATTATTTAGTGCAGTGCGCCACATCAAAAAGAAAAATAACGCAGAAAAAACACTAAAGAACAACTCCAAACGACTCGTATTCTTCTGTTGTTCTCGCTCTGTGTGTCTGCTTTACTCTACCTGTTGCCATAGCGTAGCATTATAAGTGAGGATAAGGTTAAGAGTTCTTGTCAAATGGCGGTTTGACTAAAAATCTGGATCTTTTTTTCAAAATCTCTTTCTTTCTTACCGTTTATTCAATGTCACATGCTGTAAAGCACTTTGAAATGCCTTGTTGCTGAAATGGGCTATACAAATAAAATTTGATTGATAAGATGGGAAAAAAATGTTGTTAGAAGTTAAATAATCTACCAAAGAGACTACTACTAAGTGAAAGAACTATTTACTTAAAAACAACCTCATTTATCTTCCTGAAAAGTTACTTGTACATTCATTTTGTCTTAAGATATTTCCAACAGAACCTAAACATATATTTGGTCAAATGTTGTGTTTTTGAGGTGATTGCAATCATTTCTAGGACAATTTAGCATTCAGCTACACTTGTTTTGGTGGTAGGCCTAATTATGGGTAAAGTCTGGGTCTTACTGGTTTTAAATTGAATGAAATTTGCTGACTTATCTCAATGAATTTGGAAGTTCTGTTCTGGTCCAGGTTAGACGTCCAGTGAACCTGGACTCTCTTTGTTAAGCCTGTAATCCTGCTAATTGTCTGTTGGGTTTATCTCGGTGCCTCTGAGCTTAAGATCCAATAATTACAGCTAATAATCGACTGTAAAGTCCCAAAAGTGGAGAAAAAGAACTTGTACTTACACGACGACTCCACGTTTCAAACGTGTAAATTAGACGGACGTCGTAAACGTTTGTCGTTTCTGCTGCTAATCTTTGTGTGTCTGAGTCTCAGATGCTGGATTTAATTTGCATTTTCCTGTGCGAAACGTGGCATTTCACACATTTCATCTCTGCGGAGGAGAGAGACGGTCCCACAGTGAGAGGCAGAAGCTTCTTCCACCAGTCCGCACACCAGCGTGATATAAATAAATACTCACAAACACACATCCGCTCTGTCATGCTGAGAGACTTGGAGCAGACTGACAGTATATGGCTCAGACAGGGAAAAAAAAAAAGCAATCCATATTTTTTATTTGATTTGTTGCTGACTGACAAGACTACTGCACACCAGGTTTGTGAGGCTGAGCTGAACATTAGGTGAGAAACTGAAGAGCCGTGTTGTGATCAAAACCCAACTTCAGTTCGTATCGCATCAAGCGGGATCCTCCGAGTCCGCCGAGCCGTCATCGACGGACCTCAGCTGCTCCCCGTCATAATTATTCATCATGCCAGCAGCACACAGGTACACAGCAAGCTGGAAGCCGGGAGAACGGCGACTAACCGTCAAACAAAACCGGTCGACTCCTTTCTTTGCCCCAAGTCTCCCGCTGGTCCGCAATGCTGAGAACGAGAAGAAAAGCATCAATCTTGCATTCGCTGTTGACGGCTTTCGCAGCCTTTTTCAGGCAGATTTGGTTTATCATTTGAATAATTTGTGCTGCTGCTGTTTTGCAGCCACACCTCATCAACAATTTACAGCGGCTGTGGTTTCTCTCTCTGCGGTCTGTTTCAGTCGGTGACAAACTTTATGTGACAGTTGTGTTTGCAGTGAAATATTGATCCGGTCCAGGAGGGCAGGTGCAGAGTGGGGGGCAGAAAGAGCTTGATCACCTGCCCCTTCCCTCCTAGATGCCCTGAGTGACTTTTTTAGGTCTTTATGTTGGTTTGGTCATTTGTTAATAACAAATTAGCTAAATAAAATGATCATCATTTAATATAAACAAACCAAGGCGCAGCCTGGTAACGGTTCGGTTCATTCTCCACTTTCTGTTTTTACGCTCCGCGTCTCATTTATGAAGGATCCAAACTAAAAGTAGAATACACTTCAAAAAATAAAAATAATACAGATTGATAAAACCATGCGTATGGTTAATTAACTAAATATTTAGCTTCTAAGTAAATATTTAGTTTGGAAAATAAATATTTGGCTCCAAAGTAAATATTTATTTTCCAAACCAAATACTGAGCAAGCAAACTAAATATTTAACTTGCTTTCTCAATTACTTATTTAGAAAGCTAAATATTTAGCTTCCTAGCTAAATAAATTACCAAGCAAGCTAAATCTTATGTTTGCTAAATATTTAGATTGCTAGCTAAATATGTTGCTCATAACCAAATATGTAGCTTCCTAGCTAAATAATTAACAAACAAGCTAAATATTTATGTAATTATTTTTGCTTACTTATTGATCATTTAGTCAGGAAGCTAAATATTTAGGTTGCTTGATAAATATTAAGCTCGTAACTTAATATTTAGCAAGAATGTTAAATAATTAAGTTGCTAGCAAAATATTAAACTAGCAACCTAAATATTTAGCTTTCTGATTAAATAACTAATAAGTAAGCTAAAAACTTGGCTTGCTAACTAAATATTTAGCTAACATGGAAACTAGCAGAAGTAGAATATCAAAATAAAAGCAGGGTTTGCTGACTTCCATATAAACTGAGTTGTAGCTCATGTAGCGTTTTGTTATTTCATCATTGGTTCTTTTCCTCTCAACATGATCAACATTGATAGGACTGCAGGACTTTTACTAGAAAAACTCATTCTTTAAGAAAAAGCCTTATTTTTATTTCTGAGCTGGTTATCTTTATCTGATATTAAAACTAGTTTAAGATCTGAAACGTGTGTGTGTGTGTGTGTGTGTGTGGGTGTGTGTGTGTGTGTGTGTGTGNCCTGTATATATATATAATGTTTATTTATCGAATGTAATGTGTCGTCAAAGAAATTAAATAACGTGTACGCAGCAGCCCATAGTTGGCTTAAGACAAGTTACAACTGGAAACAGGAAGAAAACAAGAAACAAGACAGTCGTTACCTTGCGTGAAAAACAGAGAGTACGTTGTCATGGGACACAGGTATTTAAGAATATGCTCCTGGAAAAAGCTTGGAAAGTAAATCAAGCAAGTTTTGATTTTGTGGGATGGCTTCAGCTACGATGAATTGCTGATATTAAATCATCTGATAGATTATTTTTATCATGACATATAAATTAGATTTTACACAAATCAGAGGTGTGAAGTGAAGAGATGGAATAAAAAAATGTGAATGTGTTCAAGAACGTGCGTAAAATCACTATTATCTATAAGTGATGGAACAAATGGCTTGCAGTCAGATTTCACTTCCAGATACAGTTTTCCTCCAAAGGTATAATGTTTTATGATCAGATAGCAGGTCCAGACAAAGTACCACCAAGGGACCCAAAGGTCCTTAGTCAGCAGGGAGACATACAGACATCTTCAGTGATTTTCTATAGATTTAAAGAGGACTTACTGCGAGGACAAACATCACGGGGTCGCTTGGTTTGTAAAAGCGGAAATACAATTTAAGGAGTTGTTTTTGCGAAAGGATTGTGGCTTCTCTCTAGGTCAAACTGACCTGACTCCTTTCCTTCGCAAATGGAACCAAAAAATTACTTGGAAAGGATGGCTGTTGGATAGATAAGAACAACAATCTGAGATAAATTGGTCTATTCAGCAATTCTGAAATGGAGCAGATGCTGAGTTCGTGAGGTCTCCAATATTTTTAAAGGTTGTCCAACACATACTTAGTATAAGGAATGCCAGAATCCTTACATAAATCATTGGTCGAAACTTTACAACTTACACCAGTGAAGATGGGACTGTATAAAAAGGGTGATGTTAAGAATACGGGGAGATTTTTTGTTGAGACTTTGTAAGATTTTTGAGTATTGAACTGATAAAACTGTAATGAGGAATCCGTGGTAGTGTAATAAATCTCTATGGCCTAACAGCAAGAACTACGTCTCCATGCGTTATTTATATTTTAAGAGTTTAGCCACCTTTCAATTCTCCAATAGGTTCTTACCGTATTTGTTATATAGTTATCTTTGATCCCATTTGTTTGTTTTTTAAATCACGTGTTCTGTATTCTTCAATTTCTTTATTTTGAAACTGTAGCTCGGTTTCCAAGCTAGAGCCGCCCAACCCCCGCCGTCACTCCTCCACCAAGTTCCCAAACAAGCCGACGCAATAAGCAAACACCTGGTGGAAATGCGCATCTGCTGAGCTCGTTATACCAGCTGCTTCTCAGTGCAACGCTGGTAAACGAATCAAAGCAACACTCCAGTTATGTTTTTAAAGAGGAAATAACATTATTTTAAAAAAGTTGATTTCACACCCTGCCCCTTTAACTGAGATATGTAACAAGTTTTAAAGCGGCACCAAGACATTTAAAGAGATGTGCAATGTTTTAACTAAAAGCATACCTGCCAGGGTCTTTGTATCTTTTCTTTATTTGTAAAATGTTTTCTAATGACTGCTTCTGCCATTTTACATTCAGCCGCTTTTCTCCCCTGATCGCCCCCATGAGTTTTCATTCAGACCACACCCACTTCAATGTTTTCTTTGCTCTGTCAGTAATCTGGCTCTCTGTGAGAAAACGTGCAACATTTCATGTTATCTTCTTCAAAAGGTCCGTTTTGAATTTTTTTCCCGCAATTTTCCTGGATTTTTTTCCCTCTGTATTTTTGCAATTTTCTTTTCCACCCTTCCTGCGTGACTTCTTTGCATTACCATCAGAAACAGGTGAGCATTTCAAATGTGCTATTTTGAGCTCTTAAAACGTTTATTCTATCTGCATTTATTTATCAGCACCAGGTTACCGGGAAAATGTAATAATAACTGTAATCCTGCGTAGTAACCGCTCTTCCTAACGATCAGATATTTTCACTTTCAGTTTCGGTTCTTGGAAATGGATACCTTTGTATGTGACAAACTAAACCAGTGGGGTCTCAGCGAGTATATTGAAATATTTCAAGGTAAAGTATGACAAATCCTGACTACTAATGAGGAAAGCTATTTTGTTCATTGTATTTGGTTTACCAACATAACTTTAGCTATAGTAATAATAAAACCAATTTGTTCTCCTGACTGGACATAATTTTAAAACCAATCACATCTGTTGTTTAGCAAGTGAATGCGCATAAATTTTTGTTCAAACAATAGAGTTTTTTTTTTTTTGTCAAACTTCTCCTTAATGTGTTTTAAAGGGTCTAACCTTTGTTTCTCCATTAGATGGCACTGTAAAATCTACAGAACATTTGAATGGTTTTAATTTAAAAAAGTCAGCTCTTGAGGGCCAAATTTTACTTTCATAGTATAAATGTTTATACAAGGGCAGGATTATGTAAAAATACCTAGATTTAAGATAAAATGAGATATTCCTTTATTAATCCCACAGTGGGGAAATTTACATTGTTACAGAGGACAGAGCATAACCCATATAAAAATCTATATATACAAAAAAATACAAATGAATATAGAAATACTGAAACAGTATTGTATAAAATATAACTTAATTAATTAATTAATTCCAGGTTTATTGTTTGTAGTGGAGAGTAGTGAACTACTGAGAGCAACGGGTGTTGTGCAGTCTGACGGCGGCTGGAAGGAAAGACCTACGGTATCTTTCCTTCACCCACTTAGGGTGCCGCAGCCTGGCACTGAAGGAGCTGCTCAGTGCTGTCAGAGAGTAAATATGAAGCATGACTTTTGTGAAACGTTTGAGGAGAATTAAACAAGCTAATGTGCCAGTTAAAGTCATTTTCAGGCTTGTGATGTTGCAAAATAGACTATAGGTACAGGGGAGAAAAAGTAGCATAATTTATTAGTGACCCTCTGCCTTTTCTTTCTGTAGTAAGCCATCAACTTTTACCATCATAAAAACACGACTTACTGAAAATACAAAAGCTCCTTATTTTATAAAAACAGTTTTCTCATACAATCACTTAATGGAAAAAAATGGTCTCTTATTCATAAATAACATTGCTTATAACATTTCCTCTCTTGCATGAAATAGATTTTTGCCTCTTTAAAATTATATTTCTGTGTTTGTGGTTAACAGAGTCTCATTTGATTACAGATCAAGGGGTTGACACAGAGAGCCTTTATTGTCTTGAGGATGAAGATATTGACAAGCTGATCACAAAAGTGGGACCGAGAGCTCGGTTCAAGAAAAGACTCAAGCAGTTAAAGGTAATGCCATACATTATTAATCATTTAGTACCACGTCTTCTGCCTATAGATTTAAACACATTGTATATGTAACATTTTATTTTCATTTTAGGAAGAAGAAAACACTAATAGTGAAAAAGAAATTTGTCCTAAACCAGTAAGGCAATCCTCTTCTCACAATAAATGTCAAATATTACATCCATTAACTATCAATATTAAATGATCTTAGACTAGATTAGGAATACCCTTTATTTTCCTGAAGTAGGGAGTTCAGCAGGTGTAACAGCAGCAACCTCACAGGAAATTGAGGCATGTTGGTTCACATAAAGATAAATAGTATAAAAATATTTAAAAACAAATTTAAGAATAATATAATGCACAGTAAAGACAAATTTACCACATAAAATACTGCACAGTCATCAAAAATAACATCCTGTTATCATATGTGCAACTGAGCAGGATAATTTTTAAAACTGTGTGTGTGTGTGTGTGTGCGTTTGTGCAGGTGAATTAACAGGACATTTCGCCTGTATACACGCAACACTAACGGGACATTTTGAATTATGGGGACAGTGCCGATGTCCTCATAATTCTTGCAACGTAAAAATGATTGGAGGTGGTTTGAATGGATGTCAAAGGGTTAAATTCCAAAAATCAGGCAAAGTCCCCATAATTCACCTTTACAAGACATTTGTGTATAACCTGTGTATCGATATAGCGCCCCCGGTGGTAACTTTAGGTACTGCACTTGCTCATGAATAATTCACACATGTGTATTTTTTAGAAACGCTGATTGGCCAGCATACGCGGGTCCCTGTAATGAAGGTTTTTGTCAGGAAAATGTGTGTTAAATAACAATTCTCTTAAAATATGCTACTTTATTGAATGCAAATCTGGCTAAATTAAAACACTGATTATTTTAGATGTACTAAATCTGTAACTGGCTGTTGAGTGATTCATTTCAACAAAGTTAATCTTTAATCTATGGATTTATAGCATACTGAAGGATGTAAGAGGATTGATAATATTGAGTCTAAAAATTTCACTGGCTATAGCATATTTTTGGATTGTAAATTAAATTTTGAATGATGAAAAGATAGATGTTAATAAATATTGGGAGATTGAAAGTTAATTATCACATGCAAATGTAATAGTTTAGGTATAGGGACAAACTTTACCCAACTAAATCTTAACCTACAGTGAAGTAACTCAATAGATGATGCAGATTTAATGAGAAAATGTTAATTTTACTAAAAAGAGACTTAGACTAGTAAGAGTTTATGTGAACATCCCTGGACAACACCTTTTTATCCATAAATACACTGAATCTGGAAAGTATTCACAACGCTTCACTTTTTCCATGTTTGGCTATGTTATAACATTTTTCCAAATTGTATTAATCCCTTTCCTCAAGATTCATAACACAAATGCCCTATTATGATACGATGTGTGAAAAAGTGTGTGATTTTTGCAAACTAACTAAAAACAGAATTACTAAGAAATTACATTTACATACATAAGTATTCACAGCCTTTATCATGAAGCTCAAAATAGAGCTATTTTCACTAATGATTGCAGAGATTAAGTTCTACAACTTAAATAGATTCCATCTGTAATGAATTCTGTTGATTTGATTAGATCTGGAAAGGCACACACCTGTCTTTATAAAGTCCCAAAATGGACAATGGATATCAGTATGCAAACACCAAGCTTGGAATCAAATACATTATCTGTAGACCTCAGAGACAGCATTGTTTTGAAGCAAAAATCTGGGGAAAGATATAAAACATTCTGCTGCTTTGAAGTCCCCAATGAGTTCAGTGGCCTCCTTCATTCATAAATGGAATCAGTTTGGAACAACTAGGACTCTCTATAGAGCTAGTTGGTTGTCTAAATTGAGTGATCAGGACAGAAGGGCCTTAGTCAGGAAGGTAACCAAGTACCCTATGGTTACTCCAATGTTCCTCTTTTGAGAGAGGAGAACCGAGAATCTGACCCCTGGCTACAGAAGCTGGCTCTTGGGATGCGAAATGTCACCTCTCTGGTGGGGAAGAAGCCTAAGCAGGTGTGCAAGGTTGAGAGGTTCCATCTAGAAAGTCTGTTTCACCTTGACCCATGGCTCGGGTTCTGGAACAAGTCTCCTTTAGAAGGGGTTGGACACTCTTTCTCTCTGGAGTTGCCCCCAGTGACAGGTGTTTGGCCGGAGTGACAAACTTGTTGCCCCCCATCTCGGTGCTTACACATTGAGGTTCATCCTGGTGAGTGAGAGGGTAGCCTCCCTCTGCTTAGAAGTGGGGGGATGGGTCCTGATGGTTTGTGCATGTGCACCAAACAGCAGTTCAGATTACCCACCCTTTTTGGAGTCCTTTGAATATTAATGGAGAGTGCACCTCTTGAGGACTCCCTTGTTCTGCTTGGAGACTTCAATGTTCACATGGGCAATAACAATGAGACCTGGAGGGGCACGGCAGGAAGAAATGGATCTCCTGATCTGAACCTGAGAGGGGTTCTGTTGGTGGACTTCTGTGCTCATCGTCAGTCATCAATGACTATAGACCTGTTGCCCTGATATCCCATAGCATGAAGGTCATGGAAAGACTTCTGTTTGCCCACCTGAATAAGCTGACAAGCACATATCAGGACCCCCTGCAGTTTGCTTATTGCCATGGAGTAGGAATTGATGGTGCCATCATATACCTGCTTCATCAAACCCACTGTCATCTGGACAAAGCAGGCAGCACTTAGAGGATCATGTTCTTTGATTTCTCCAGTGCATTTAGCACAATTCAGCCTGATCTCCTCTGTGAGAAACTTCAGAAGACACAGATGGAGGCCTCAACAAGGACTGTGTGTCTAACCAGGTGGTCAGCAACACAGGAGCTCCACAAGGCACTGTACTCTCACCATTCCTTTTCACTCTGTACACATCATGCTTTCAGGATAAGTCTGACTTCTGTCACCTATGAAAATACTCGGATGACTCTGCAGTTGTGGGATGCATCAGAGATGGACAAGAGGCTGAGTACAGAGAGCTGGTGGACTGCTTTGTGGCATTGTGTGGGGACAATTATCTCATCTTGAATGTAAACAGAACAAAGGAGATTATTGTTGATTTCTAGAGAAACAGTGTTAGATCAAGCCCCATTTCCATCATGGGAGAAGAAATGGAGGTGGTTAAGGAAAATAAATATCTTGGTGTTCAGCTAGATAACAGACTAGACTTGAAACTCAACAGTGAAACCGTCTACAAGAAAGGACAGAGCAGACAGTATTTCTTGAGGAAGCTAAAATCCTTTAAGGTTTGCAGCAAGATCCTGCATATCTTTTATAAGTCTGTTGTTGAGAGCACCGTCTCCTCTGCTGTCATCTGTTGTGAGAGCAGCATCAGACCCAGGGACTTAAAAAGCTTAACCATTTGATAAAGAAGGCTGGTTCTGTTCTGGGGACGACTGTTAAAATTCTGAAGATGATGATCCACAGAAGAATTTTGCATAAAATCAAAAAAAGTTTTAGATAATGCTCACCATCCTGTTATTTCAAATCCGAGTCTCTTCAGCCAGACGTTTCTACAGATTGGTTGTAAAGCGGACTGCTACAGGAGATCTTTCTTGGCCACAGCCATCACAATCTATTATAACTCCTTAATTAGTTACGTCAACATTTAATTTCCGTTTTG